CGCGGGGGTTTTTTAAATTTTTTAAATCGGTTTTTGGGCGCAGGGGAGGCCGTTGCCCGAAATATTTGGGGGGGGTTTTTCTTACAGTTACCCTTCCCTGGGTTATGGTTTTCGGGAAACTTTCCGTAGAGGGCGCGGGAGAGACCCTGGGGAGTTCTTGGGCTTTGGGGGAATTCCGGCAGGGCCAGCGGGCTTTGGAAGGGGGGGGGGGGGGACGGGAAAAAAAAAAAAAAAGGTGGCGGGGGGGGGGGGGGGGGGGGCTTAAATTGCCCGCCAGCCGCAGAGGGATGTCGCCGTGGATAACCTAAGAGGCAAATCGAGAAGTCAGAATGCAACAGGCGCAAGGAGGCGAGTTGACATCAGTGAATCGAGTAGAGAGCATGATAAACTGGAACATATGTGATTTTTCTTTGATCCCTCGATAGACTAGCAAGCTCTGATATTTTTTTCAATATATTTTGACTTGGAAAAAGTAGGACTTTACAAGCAAGATAAAACTTTCAGCAGTAGTGAGACCCATTGGAGGGCTCTGGGCTAAGAAAATAGCCCGGTCTCTTTTTAGAAAGTACACATAATCTCACAGGAAGACCAACCGTTCGAGACAATACCACAGTCGAAGGGGATGTGTTCAAGTCATTTCAGTGAGTGGGACGTGGGAAGAAACCGGCTGGATACTGGGCTTATTTAGGTCTGTTTAAGCCTATCTATACACTGACATTTGATCAGTGATACCAGCAGCCCGGTCTCTTGGTGTCGCACAGAGCCGCGGTCATGGCTTGCCTCTACTAGCATATATTATGTACCGTACTAGAACCTCTTCACAAACATTTCTCAAGACACAACTGCCCGGCGCAGCGAGCGGTGGGTGCTCAACTACAACAACAATACAACAACAGAGAGAGGAGATCAATCAATAATAATGCGTTTCATCGCGAGTGCAGTAAAAGAAGCTGAAATAAATGTACTGTGGTGACGAAACGTCACGAGCTGTTTGTTTCACCCACATAACATGCTGCTGAGTACACCTCGGGAAACTCCAAGCGAGACAACGCTGATGCTCGCGGCTTGGCCCTGTGGATGGTTCGTCATAGAGGGCATAGTCTATGCCGCCAAGGAGAGGAAAATCTACGGGGAGAACGGCGGGCGGTCGAAGAGGGCGCGTGGGAGGCCGTAATATCCCCCGCCCCTTGCGAAAACTTTCTGCACCACACCTCAAATAAATGCGTCCGGCACTTGATTTGTTTCTTATATTGTGTTGCCACGCGAGCAGGGCCATACTACAAAGAACGGGGGAAACACCACCTCGACGGAAGGTGACGCGGCGGACGGAAAAAAAAAAGGAAATCGCAGCAAACAAACACCCTACGGCGCGACCCCACATTGATTGTCCGATTTTCAGATATTACAACAACGTTAATAATTAGTACCCAGCCAGCCGGTTTCCCTCCATTCACTGTAAAGACTTCAACACACCCCGTTCGACTGTGGTCTTATATCGAATGGGTAGTCTTTCTATGTTTGTATTTGTGTTTCTTAACAATATTGTTCCTCCTATAATCTAACAAACCAGCAAGCTGCCAATAGACACTGCGCCGTGTCCCCTGTGAAGGATACATCTTACAACACACGACACGACGGAGGGATTCTTCCCGATATTTTGTCGTGCACCCAGTAGACGCATTGTAAGATGTAGATTACCTGTGCAGATGTTTTTGTACTTAGCACCAGCTGGCATCACTGAAATTAATCATCAGTGTTAGACCTCAAAAGACTCGAAATACGTCCAGTACCTAGCCAACCTAGCCGCGGTTTTCCTCCACTCACCGAAAAGACTCCACCACATCCCGTTCGCCTGTGGGTATATCTCGAATGGGTAGTCTTTCTGTGCGTGTTTTTATTTTCCCTCAAGTTTTACCGAAAAAACAACTTGGGTGCGTGGCAAACGCCCCGAGGTATTCTTCTTGGCTTTCTCAGGGGAAAACGCTCCGTGGGGCGAGCTGAAGAACAAAAAAGGCACGTGCGGGAACTGGATATTTTACCAAAGCATGTTACAGTGGGCGCATCAACACATAAAAAATTGTTTCATGTTGTTGTATTCCGTGTTTTGGGGGGGCGTTGTACACATTTATCACTAAGAAAGTTGATTCAGTACTCCTAAGCCGCCACCCAGTGCTAACCTGAAGGCCACCAACACATGGATGGCCAGACCACAAAGAAAACAACACATGCTAGGGCAGAAAAATAAGGTACACCATTTGATTGAGGGATACAGGATGAAAGAGGCCGAGTTCCTACATGCACCGAACCGGATGACATTCATTCGTAATAAATAGCCCAAAGGTTTCCCCCCATGTGCTTCGCTAATCGTCACCGGGTTTGCCTTCTATCTACTAGGTAGGCCGCTACATGATGCCATTTTTCGGTCTGTTTATGTATGTTCTCTGTGCACAGGTCAAGTAAACGGTCGGTGGGTCGTATGCATAATTCAGTATGTCGCCCGCGCCCTTTTCCTGCGATTGCGGGGCTGCGTCACCTGCAATAGCGGCGTCGTTGGGCCACCAGCCGTCGTTGCTAACGACACCAGATGTTTTGCGGGTTGAGGTTCCTGCGTCATGTCACTGAGCAGAAAAGTTGAGGATGAGGGATGGATCGGTCCATGTCATTGAATGATTTAGCATACATGCCACCCACCTTACTTCCTGCGTGTACCCTGTGTTGTTGATCGGCGTGTGAATTGACTGTCTGTGCGGCATTGGTTCGGTTTCGCACGAATAGCGCCGTTCCAGACCAAGAATCACGAGGCAACAAGCCCGAAGCCAATTTCTTCACGAGTACCTGAATACGCACGAGCTCTATCCTGCCCTTCAAGCTTCCATGGAAGTCGCTCTCAGTCCTCCCGAAGGACTTTCATGGAAGCTTTTTCGTGCCGTTTCCATGGAACAAGGCGTCGGTCCAACCTTGCATGGTAGTTTCCCTTTACAGAGTTATCCAGCTTCCTCCATCCATGGAAGCGTCGTGTGTCAGGGATATCTACGTGTCCATGTGTGTGTACAGTAGCGAAGATCTATCACTCCATGATCGCTGCAGCCAACTTTAGTGGTACGACATGAAATTGTGTGTGCACGCTACAAGGTACGTAGCTATCAGACTCGTGCAGTATTACCCAGAGCCGATACCACACGCTGTATGACGCGTTGCCGTACAGGGCTGGCAGCGAACGGTCAGAATAGTTATCGGTGAAACCCCAAGGTAGGCGGTCGACTATTCGGGGTCCCCAACAGTAGGAATTGGGATCCAGAGCTGGCCCACGCGCCTCTCTCCCTCACTCTCATATCCTACCATCAATATCCGACCTTGGAGTAAGACGTTAACAGCAACATCCACAGCTCCCACGGGCGGCATCGAAATAATCGTAATAATGGACTTCCGATCCTAACTCAAAGAAAGGCAGATCGTTACATGACATTGTTCATTTCCTTGGAGGAAGCATTTCGTTATAAACGGGTTTGTGGAAAATTCGTCTACAACGAGTTATAGGTTTTCTGTTCCGCAATGTCTCTTCCATAAACGCGTGCCTTCTTGTACTTTCCATGGAATAAAATGATCTCACTTGGGACTTTGCGTGTGTGTTTCGACCGCGCTAACCGGCTGACCAATGAGAAGACGTAAGTCTTAGTGCGGTTGAATACATTCCCGTGCGTGTGTAGAACAATAAAGTTTCATCGGTGTGGAGGTGATCATGTCCTACCAGTGAGACGTGGACGAAGAATACACACGAAGAAGAGGACCCTCGGCAGTTCGCTTCATCCCCGCGGCCTCGCCGTGATGGGTGAAGCAGACTGGGCCGCGGTTTCGTTCGGACGTGGGTAGGTTGGTTGAAGGGCGAGCGACTCGAAGACCGTCGGTAGCAGATGACAACAAACTCACTACTAGTATGGTAGCAGAAGATGGTGTGATTGGTAAAGATCGAGGTAGAGGTGGGTTTCGGGGGGGGAAGGAACGGGCTACTGCGGACCCCAATAAATCGTCGGCTCAAATGCCGCACGAATGGATATGACGTCAATCACAACTGGGTACCGCACATAATCCTCTCAGTCCTGGAGAGAGTGCCAAGGTAGGGGAGTAGGTGGCTCTATATGAAATAGTCTAGTATAAGAAATCGTCCTCCGCCCACGATCGATCGTGCAGATATGGAGCCATACCCACATCCTAAGGCAAATAATTTACAGTTTCTCTATGCTACAGCAACACTCCGCAACAGCGTATGTATGCGATACACACCTCTGTACGCACTGGCGACGGCTGGTGCGGGAACTTTTAGGTTGTGGAAATAACCTCATAAGTTCATCAGGCTCGCCAAACGGACCACCGACGAACGCAAAGATTGATAGAGTAGCTTTCGCTACGACGAGCGGCAGCTGTTCCGATAGATGTAACTGTCGTCATATATGTGCGTCCACGGCATGAAGTTCATGTGATTGCGAGGGGCACCACAGGTGGAATATAAGCTGTTCTTGTTGCAACTGACTTTGTCCTGCGTCAGTCTGCCGCCAGCTGCTTGTGGTGTTGGCTGCCGGCGCCTGGCAGCACCTCTCACTCGGTTAGCCGCGCGCTGTTCTGGTGTCGGCGGTATCTCTCGCTGTCGCCTAGCGGCCGCTCTCTGTCGGTCCGCCCGTGGCCTGTGATTTTTGTGTTTATATTATTAGCATCGACCGCGCTAACCGGCTGACCGATGAAAATTTTGTTGTGTGTTTGTGAGAGAGAAAGAGAAAAGGAAAGGATTCACAGTGTTTGTGCAATAAGCTGTGTGATCGGTTGAGCTATTTTCTTTATGATCCTTCGTGCCCGTCCAGATTCATACCTGCACGAAGTACCATTCGTCTGTGTGTGCTATGTGTACGGAAAAATACAAAAAAAGGGTCAATACGCATTTCAATAATGCCGCAATTGCACACACGCTCACGCACCAACGCACATTTCCGCTCGTGATCTGTCGGTCTCCCTCTGACGACCAGCAGCTCTCGCCCTTTGAAGGTATGGGCTGCTTAGGGACTCCCTCTCTCCGCGCCTTTGTCTGCGCCGGGAGTGAGTCTGTTTGCGCCTCTACCCGCCGTCTGCCCGCCGTATGTTTCTAGCAGTGCCCGCTGAGCTTGTGGTGTCTGCTGTGGGTGGGTGCTGCAGCTGCACCAGCTGCAATCTGCTGTGTGGTCACGTGCGGTCCGACCCCGACGCCCTGTTGAAAATCAAGTGAGGCACTCTAAACCCCATTGGTGGAAGTCGCGGAAGCGCTTGGGTTCATTCTACGGAAGTTGTAAAGTGAATTTGACTTCCACGGAAGCTGACGGGGTGCATCATTCGTCCAATAATGTAGCGTGAGACGCCATGGGTGGAAGTGAAAGGAGCGCTGTAGTTCATTCTACGGAAGTCGTGGAAGTGAAGTTGATCTCCATGGAAGCTGGCGAGAGGATCATTCGTCCAATAGTGTAGGGTGAAACGCCATTGGTGGAAGTGAAGGGAGCGCTTGCGTTCGTTATACGGGAGTCGTGCAAGTGAAGGGGACTTCCATGGAAGCTGACGAGATGCATCATTCCACCAATAGTGTAGGGTGAAACGCCATTGGCGGAAGTGAAGGGAGCGCTTGGGTTCATTCTACGGAAGTCATGGAAGTGAGTTGGACTTCCATGGAAGCTGTCAAGAGAATCATTTGTGAAATAGTGTAGGGTGAAACGCCATTGGTGGAAGTGAGGGGGGCGCAATAGTTCAGTCTACGGAAGTGGTGGAGACTTCTATGGAAGTTGTCAAGAGGGTCATTTGTCAAATAGTGTAGGTTGAAATGCCATTGGTGGAAGTGAAGGGACCACTTGGGTTCATTCTACGGAAGTCATGGAAGTGGAGGTGACTTCCATGCAAGCTGTCAAGAGGGTCATTTGTCAAATAGTGTAGGTTCAAACGCCATTGGTGGAAGTGAAAGGAGCGCTAAGTTCAGTCTACGGAAGTGGTGGAAGTGAAGTAGACTTCCATGGAAGCTGTCAAGAGGATCATTTGTCAAAGAGTGTAGGGTGAAACGCCATAGGTGGAAGTAAAGGGAGCGCTGTAGTTCAGTCTACGGAAGTGGTGGAAGTGAAGTGGACTTCCATGGAAGCTGACGAGATGCATCATTCCACCAATAGTGTAGGCTGATGGAAGTGAATTGAGCGCTTGGGTTCGTTGACGGGAGTCGTGGAAGTGAAGGGGACTTCCATGGAAGCTGACGAGATGCACCATTCGTCCAATAGTGTAGGGTGAAACCCAATTGGTGGAAGTGAAGGGAGCGTTGGGTTCATTCTACGGAAGTCATGGAAGTGAAGTGGACTTCCATGGAAGCTGACGAGATGCATCATTCCACCAATAGTGTATGGTGAAACGCCACTGGCGGAAGTGAAGGGAGCGTTTGGGTTCGTTGTACGGGAGTCGTGGAAGTGAAGGGGACTTCCATATAATCAATGTGCAAGAGAGGTGCGATGTGCTGAAATCAAGTGTCACAAGTCGAGGACACTTCGTTGTCACAAGTATCCACACAGCACGATTTCTACGATGCGGCAGATGCAGGTCTTCCCGATTTGCGACGAAACTCCTCAGTGCTGCCCTATCGCCGACCGCCAGGTTATCCGTGTGCCCACGACACTGCCCGCAGCTTCGCGAGGGGCTAGCGACCTACTGCATGACCCCCCTCACCACCAACAGGGCCGGCAAGAGCTTTGCAGGTGGTGAGATATGGCGCATACGCATGTGTCTTTCAGGACCCTTGCTTTCCTGAAGCTATGCCAGCGACCACACGCCAATTACGCGCGTCGGAAGAAAAAACAATAGCGACATCAAGAAGAACAACTTGGAAGGCACGGAGCCGCTAACAATTTGTGGATGCATGCCGCACCACCGTAGCTTTGGAAACAGAGAAGCACAGGGCTCGAAACACGAACAAATCTTCCAACCTTCTTGCCGAAAACAATCTCGCTAAATTATGTGGAGATAACCATAACCCGCACCTTGCTTGCGCCCATTCCATACACCCATCAACGAAAGTCGGTAACGTATGGGGAAGTCAACGTCCTATTCCGGGTACCTACGTCCTGTGGAGGGCTGAACTTCGAAATTTCTTCATCTACCGCTTTTCTTTTTCGTTTCCGGGTGGACGTCTCCCCCTCCCACCGGAGCGGAGTGGATCACTCTCTGTTTGATGGCCTTGTCAAGTAACGAGATCGTCTCAGCGCAGATCTGAAGAACCACGTGCTGGCCAGAGTGAACCCGGCCAACGAGTCGAAAAGCGTTGGAAGGAATACTTGCTCCGGCACATGTCTCTCTCTCGCTCTCACGTTTTGCATGTTGTTTTCGATTTCGCGCCCTTCATTCAATCTCTTGCTACATTGGCACAGATTGTGCAGTGGCCCGCAAGCAGGTGGTGGACACTCGAAGGATGACCATCACGATGAAGGTGAGGTGGGCTTGCCGTGTTCATCGTTCTCCACTTTCAAGAAGATATCAGGGTTGGTTGTAATCGTCCCCGGAGATCTCTACTCTCAATCCGAGTGATTAAGCTACGAACAGCCTCAAGCCCATGTGATCCGGCCGGGTGCTAACGAGCTCTGAGCATATCTTTTAATCGGTAAAATTAGACCATCCGGCTAGTCAGCGTTGACTAGCCGGATGGTCTAATTTTACCGATTAGGTTGAACTGTAGCCGAGGCAAAACGCCGACAGGACGGGTTTGTTTCCTGTGTATCCTCGTCCGAAAGCATTTTCTAGTCTAACGGCTCGTAACAGTGGCGGCATTGCATCTGCTTTACTGTTCTTGCGGCACACAGCCCGGCGCGCCTATTCTCCCTGTCCGCACACGGGAACCCCAGTAGTACACGTTGGAGCTGGTCTCCTGGCAATTTGTTGGCGCTGACTGTGGGAAAAAGTACAGAATACTCAACGTCAGAAGAAATAAAAAAAGAACGGGTCGCGGCCGCAGGAACCGAGAAAAAGGGAACAAGTGGGGTTGCTTCTCGAGAGCTTTTTTGGAGGGTATCGGCATTCTACGCATAAACCCAATCAGCAGTTTTGCAAACGAAGGTTTGTGTGGGTGGATTTGTTCTTCAACAATATGACTGGTACTGTTTCGGGGGTGTCATATGAACAGAATCCGTTCAACACCGGCCCGGGATCTGCGGAGCAACTTCCACCTCACGGCTCTGCTGCCATAACTTGTTGCGCGACTGGTTGCTGATTGTGCTCTTGCTTCGCCTGCTACTGTTCTTGAAACTGAAGGTAACGGAGGACTCGTCGAAAAGCGGCATCTGCTTTGTTGCCCCATCGCTCACCGGGTACGTCCACAACGGGGAAGATGATGTGAGTTTTGGGTTAGTTTTCTTGTCCTGTCCCTGAACAAGTTCTCCACCGTATCCAGGGCAGGTATGCCATAGTGCATACTTCTATTGTGCTCCCAGTACTTCCTCCACACAAAACCATTACTTTTCATTCAGCGATCGATCTTCGCTTCCACACCCTTGTCTCGAGATGTCTTTGCGAGATCTTCACGTCTTCTTTACCAAATACCCCACCGACCGGCCCGACAGTCATTTTCGTAGAATATACTCTACCTACTTGCTCATCAACGGATACGCTATTTTATGGCCCACAAGGGAGAACACATCACTGCCTACACGCCCTGGGAAAATCCCTTGGAACACTTCTAGCTCTCTAGGCCCAAGGCACTGGTGTTCGGAGTATTCATCTGCCCCATTCATCCTGCCCAAAAGAGAGGCGGGTTCATTCGCCGCACGGTTCGGACATGGGGAAGATCGGCCTTGCCCGTGAACGTCTCCTTGGTAATTGCACAATCTCATATCCCGCCTCCACCATCCTCCTTTTCGTTCCTTCTTGTTCTCGAGGCACGCGTATCTCAACCCTTGGAGTACATGCTTCGTGCCAATTGCAGAGGATTATCGCAGTAGTATCAGACATCGACTCCAGGCCAGAGGTTCAGCGTCGAACCGCCCAATCCCAATACCACAATTAGCGCTCACACCAACTCCGTCTTCCGTTTCTGGGCTTCGGCGACTTTTGACGCCCTGATCGTTTGACGTAACGGCTTTAATGTGGCCGCCAGGGGGATGCTCACCGAGTATGCGTCAAGCTCCTGGACGCATTTTCCGGTACATTAGAGAGCGATGAGACGGTGAGAACGAACACATGGCCAACTTCACAGACTCTATTGTTTCATGTATAGAACTTGGGGAGTATGCGTCAAGCTCCTGGACGCATTTTCCGGGGTACATTAGAGAGCGATGAGACGGTGAGAACGAACACATGGCCAACTTTACAGACTCTATTGTTTCATGTATAGAACTTGGGCGGAAGTTTCTTCCGGACAAGCGCGGCAGCATCAGGGCTGGCCCATGCTTCTGCGCCGACCCCGGTCATTTTATGCTCTTTGTGGTTAACGTCGGGCGTATCCCGTAAATATACTCGTTGTCGAAAGGGTGGGGTGCGAACAGCATGTGGCACAACCTCGGTTGGTTGTATATTCGGCGACTTCGATCGCCCTGGACAAGCTTGCGCAATCGTCGACCCGGCCAGCTACTGTAGACCTCTCTTTGTTTGCAGGGAGAGGGCACGCGCACACTGGCGCCGAGGTCTTGGCCTCATTTGTGCACTCGAACTGCAAGTGTAGCATGTCTTAGAACCCTCGTCCCGACAGACTGGCCAAGAGCACTGACAGTTGAATCGTTCTTGCGAACAGTTCACCCCTACCATCCCCGCAAACACGCACAACCTCCCCTTTCGCCATCGTTGTCGTAACCCTGTTACATATACCTGGTATGAGATTTTCGCTGAAATGTACCGTTGAAACGCTCCCGGCACGTTTAGCTGGCGCGTTCAGCTGTCGTCAACGAGAGAATCCAGGCAGCATGCCGTAGCTCCTTGAGGAGCGCCTTAACCCCAGGCAGCGCTTGTCCGTCGACTACATCGGAATTGTGAGCGTGTGCTCCTCGGATTCTTTCGTTGACGACACCTGAGAGTGTGGGGAGCTGTTCAACGGGTAGGGAAGTGTTAACTACTCGGGCACCGACGTCAGACGCGGGCACTTCTCCACACACGAAGGGGGGAGAAGCCGGAGACGACAGTGAGCCCCTGCCGGAGCCTGGCCGTGCTGAGGCGGTGACACCCGAGGTGTTGGGCTCATTTGTGCACTAGAAGTTGCAAGTGTAGTTTTTCAAAAGTTCGACAATATTTATTTTGCTTGGTGCTCTCTACCGTACCGACAATTCCGACGTGGAATATGAGAGCTGTACATTAATGGTGCTTGTTGTGTTAGTTATCCCCGTCCAAACGTTCGACTATTGTTGCTGTTCGAGTTGAATGTGATCATATGCGGCTCGGTTCTCTTGTCGCTCTGTATATCTTCGTTGCACGCTTCAATCTACCCAACGTGTTGCTTTCAAGCGTTGCGGGTGGCCTCCAAAGGCTAAACGGGGGTGACACCCCTTTCACCAACACCTGCATGGTACTTCTTCGACGGGTCGTGCCGACTAACGCGCTCTCGCGTGCGTTCAATATCTAGTCTCATGTGTCGCGGGCTTTACCTGGAGTTGGAAACACGACTTGCAATGTAGCGGCCACTCACTCCGGAAGATCCTGCCAGGTCGCACCCCGCGCCTCCACCCCCTGCAACGATAACCTGTTCATGTCTTCCTCTCTCACTTGCATTACCACGGGGGTCATGTCCGACATCGCTTTCTTCAGTGTTGTTGAAGAAGGCGATGCCCGACATGACGCCTGTGGTAATCCAAGTGAGATAGCTGGGCACGGATGTCTGTATATCGGTGGCGTTCCCACATCTCGCAGTCTGTAGCGAGGCCGGTGTGTGGAGCTTGGGTATTGCATGCGCAACTCTAGTGCTTCAGGAACCCTTGCAAATCAAATTAGGTCGAGGTTTCCGTCGGCCTTGATATTCACGCAAAGGACAGGTCGAGTCACCACGACGAGCCGTGATGACCGTCACAGTTTTTAAGCAAACGCCCAAGCACCTTCGTGGTTGCATCTGTGTACTTGAGCAAGTACAGGGTTGACCATATGTCGCAGAACCTACCGTATGTCTTTTCACCGTCGTCCTGACAGACTGGCCAAGAGCACTGATAGTTAATTCGTCCTTGCAAACATTTCACCCCTACCATCCCCGCAAACACGCACAACCTCCTCTGCCACCATTGTTGTCGTGACGCTGTTACGTAGACCTGGTGACATTTTCGCTGAAATGTACCCGTCGAAACTCTCCCGACACGTTCAGCTGTCGTCAACGAGAGAATCGAAGGGACACACCTTAACGGTTCCGATGTTGTCTGACGGGCAAGCGCTGCCTGGGGTGGAGGTGCTCCTGAAGGAGATGCGGGTTGCATTCGGTTGTTGTTTTTTCTGTCACCGCCGCCTTCGTCGTCGTTTCTGTTAGAAACAGCACGGGTATCAATCTCGGTTTTGCCGATTTTGAGCAAGAGGGCAAAAACAAATCGCCTCGTCATCTCGGCGTAACATGGATATCCCTTGCTGCCGCGTGCCGCATTTGACCTGTGCAACAACAATCTCCGGCTCTACGGATGTTCGACACGAATAGTGGCCTCCCCGGGTGCCACGTGGCTCGCCCGGGTATCATTCTGCCCGGTAGCGCTGTTCGACATATAACTTTACCTGCGAATTGTTTTTCGTCCGGTGTGCCTTGTTCGCTAGGTTTCTCTGGTCCGCTGTATTCGTTGATTTGTTTTGTACGTGCTCTTCGTTTCTCTAGATGGTTACTGGTGGGTCAATTGTTGTGTAGATTCGGGGATCAGAGGAGGCACACAGGTGGAGGAGCACTCGCTTTAATCAGTTTGCAGAAGCTCCGTGTGCTCAACGGAGAGACTCCCTTGGGTCACGCTGGCCACTTCTCGTGGGCGAGGTGTTGCGCGGTGGACTAGACGCGTACGTACGCGATATGACGGCAACCCCGGAAATGCTAGCGTCGACTGCATACATCCTGGGAGATGACGGACCCTGCTTGTCAATCCATCACGTAGGGTCCAGTTCCACTTTTTCCTACTGACACGGCCAGTGGTTGGAGATGCTGCGGCAATCCACGTAAGGGAGCACCGCTCTGTCGGAGGCGATCATGGCAGCCCAGGCGACCGAACACGCCTGCTTTGCCATCCCCAGTCATCTCCTTGACCAGGTA